CACAAATACCACATTATTTATGGTTAGAGTGGCACAGTGGTGCAGAACCTGAGAACGGTATCCTGTGGAGGGGACAAGTTCGCGGAATATTTCTGAACTGCGCACATCCAAGCCAACGTTTCCAACGATATCACGGGACCGAACTTGTCACGAAGCAAAGAGGCCTCTTCAATAGTCCGGACGGATGTCATGGTTTTTATTTCGACAGCACATATTGATGTGAAATCATTCTCATCTGTATATGCAATAAGACCGTCCGGACTATCAGCCAACATATTACATCTCTCGCTCTCTATGAGTCCTGTGGAGCGGACATGTCTGACTTTAAACTCGAAAGCGCTATCCCAGAAGAAGGCCGAAGAGCGTGGCAGACACCTGTAAGCTCCGGGGTGTTCCTTGAAAAACTTGGGTAGGGCTTTCATTATCTCAACCTCATTTCTCGAGCCCTCTTTCATTCCTGCTGTTGCGACAAGAGGTTTCATGACCAATGCGTTCAGAGACGCCTCCCTCAGTGCATGAGAAATACGCTCTGCGGCCTCTTCCGTTCTGTGTTCCTCAGTTATGAGTATTTCATCAGAATGTCCTTCAATTGTTACTGTTCCTGCGCAAACGTCGAGCTTCAGGTGGCTGACTGCTGCCACAACATACGCCTTAGGTTTACGTTGCTCCAATCCCCTCCCAAACACATCCAACATGGACTGTAGCTCCGCTTTTGTATGAGAGGCAATTCGACTTGTAGGCATGGCTTGAATGCGCTCTGCAATACCTTGCCTCGAGGAACGGCGAGGGAGAACCCCCATGGTCATTCCCAGTGCTCTGAGCACGCTGTCCCATTTAGGGCGAATGTGCTCCCGCACCAGCATGATTTCCTGTGGCAACTCTTCACTCCCTGCATTAAATGTTTTGCCACGGAGTCTCCGCGACATGCCATTAAGATTCTGCTTCGTAGTCCCGTGCCACAGCTGCCAAGAAGCCGTGGGCAGTACGGCACGTAAATCTAAAAGCTCGGAGAAGAAACCATACAGGGTCTTCAGACTGGTAGAAAGTCGTTACGCGACAGCGCTTCAGTAGCTGATCGACCTTTCTTCTGCCAATATTTCCTATGTCCGGTCGGACCACAAAGGCCCACGTATGGCTCTCATCGCAGGTTACCAAGGACTCCTCCAGCTTCTCCAGGGACCCCTCGCTTCGGAACGCCTCCCGTAGCACTGTTGTACAGCACCTCGACGGAAAAAGGGTCGCATTGTTATGTATCAAAGCGGCTATTCGGCCCGAGCAGCTGTCACGATATATACAGGCCTAGGCACGACAGACTTGCGAGCCGCGCCCTCTCCCTTTCCTTAAACTGGCAGTATAAACTGCGCGACACCCACGTTCGGACACATTCATTCCCTTGTGTTTTCGTGATATTGGTCCGTCTCCGAATACGTAGGGATACCACAAATCCCTCTTGTGGGTACCAAGTAAACTGGCCCCCAGTGTGTTAGATAAAAAGGCAATAGTCTCCTTCTAATTGTACCCTCGATCAGCTGCAAATATCGCATCAGGCATAGGACGCAAGGCCCGAGAGGTAGATGCCCCTTGTACCAGTTGAACTAAACGTTCCCAAATGTGGAGTAGCTTTCTCCCGTGCGGGTAAAATGACAGGCGTTAAAGAAGGGATTTAAAGCAGAGCACAGCGCGTTTCCCACCGGACCAAGACCCTTTTTAGGGTTAAGATGCTGTTGTAAATACGTTAACGCCACCACAGAACGTGAAGAAATCCGGAGATGATCATCGTCTAGAGAAAGTACTGTAGAGCCCTCGATAAATAGTAATTCTCGATTAATGGCTGCAGTCTCGGACTCCAATTCAGTAATGATACTGGTGGCTCGGTCTGCAGTTCTGCACCAGCCTGTTGCTGAGTAGTCATGCGCGGCTCGCAACCCTTTTGACGCGCTCAGAGCGCTCCATACTTCGTAATACCGCTCAGATGAAATGCCCATTTGGAAAACATGTTCGCGTTCGGTCGGGTTACAAACGACAGTTGGACATTCATTATATGATGCACAGAGTACATGAAGTACGACAAGACCCAGAAGCTCGCTTTTTGTGGTGCATTTCTGCTTTCGCTCGTGCAGGACCCTGTTGAACAGCAGTCAGATCTAAAAAGGACTTTTCCAGAGTAAAAAGATTAAAACATTTCCCAAAAATAGGCTAAATTCTTACTGTAGTCTTCCGCGCATACCGTCTATTTACGGCGCGACGACCAGAACCGCAACGCGCCTAGTGCTCCCTTTTCTATTACCGCACCACCCTCCCGCGAGCGCCGTCACCCATCACCCCCCGCATTGAACAAAAGGATCCCGCCGATTGCCACCCCCAATTGTATACGCGCTGATATATAAATCCGCTAGGCGGTCAGAATGTCTTTGACAACACATTTGGCCGACCATACCAGCCTTCGTCGCATAAAAATAAAGAAAAGTTTGCAAATTCCGACGTGGGGCAAATGAGTCAAGGAGCAGAGTAGATGGCGCCACTGACCCTGTACCCCGTCCGAAACTTCCCATTCAACGCCTGGCGCAAGCGAAAACTTCTCTCGCAAACAGTCCCAGGCCAGTAAGTTAGGTCTTTCTGTGCACAGCCTTCCAACGAGGACTACGCCCTTCAAACACAACCGAGGCCCCCGTTTTCCGCCTCATCGCCAACGTGGCACGGCTCTCAGCACCCACAGTCCCTCTGACATTCGTCAATTGCATCACAACCAGAAAGAACACTAACACGGCAGAACCACCGCGTCTTTTCGTTCTGCATGAGTCGAGGCCTGATCTGTCTTCGCTCCCGATAGTTCCAGGCTCAAGGCACGAACCAATACCCTACACACTGACAGCACCATAAACAACTGTAGCAACAGCAATTTCCATTGCTTCTAGCGTACATGACAGCCATGAAGGCCACACGCAAGGGGACAGTGCTGGGCAAGTACGTTTCGTATGCCGACAAAGCGGTGGCACCAAGAGGTTTGAATAGCGATACAGTCCTACGCTGCACTTTCGGACGCACACAAACGAGATGCAATGTGCATGCAAAGTCGGGGGATGATCACAGAAGTTCAAGTTGCAGTCGTCCCAATCGCACTACTTGCGAACACGGCATCGTGGTGTGCTCATGGAGAAGGCACCGGGGAAGCGGACAGGAGGAAACGGTGAAGCGCGACACGTGGATTGTGCGGCCTCCGTCAATAGCTCTGACGGCGGAGGGGAGACAGGTGTGAGTGGAGAGCGGGCTGGACACCATAGCACAGCGGTGGATGGAAGTAAGCGAAGGCGCGATGAGAGCAGCACGGCGGAGGCGGTGCCGACGAAGCGGCGTAGAGAGTCCGGAATGCTTTTTAAAGATCCGTATCAGACCGTGCATATCTCACACGCGCGCGATGCTCCAGCTCACGTTGGACCACTGTAATTTGTACATTCGTCATTCGAAACAACAAGTCCCCTCTACGTGTCATGATCGTGGGCGCAGATTGTGGAGTTGGCAACACTTCTGTAACCTCTGGAGTGAATGCATCTCCACGCTGCAGAATCAGCACTGAAATGCCGACATACCTAAACCGAAACGGATTGAAAGCGCTTTTCGAACAATGCGCTGTAATCATTCCGTTAATCGTGATGGGCGTTATATGCACACTAAGTTCTTCGGGATCGGCGACAAGAGCTAGTCTGTACCTTGAAATTCCAACTAAAGCCCCCCGTCGCACCACTGCGATGGGCACGCTCGACCTCTCCGGCCTCTCTCGGGTAAACAGCGTGCCATGCTGTTCGAACAAGGTAGCGCGCGACCGGAAGAGAACGCGGTAGCGACTGTGTGTCGCTGCACTGGGTGACCAGCTGTTGCGCAAACGCATCACATGGCGACTGTGAGCTTGCGGCACATCAGGCATCTCGCCCAGCTCTTCAATTCGAAAGCAGGTTTCCTCGTGCAAAATGCGATGCACCCCCGGTTTGGCCGTTCCCTTCGGACAAAACATCCTCCAGCCCTCCCGCCGACTACGCTCAGCGCCGCGTATGTTCAAACTAGCTCCCGCGCAATGCGATGCACCTTTCCGGTTGGCCCTTCCCTTCGGACAGAACAACCTCCAGCTAATACATTACGACGATGATCACTATCAAACTTGCTTTGAACATCGAGGGCCTTGGCAAGACGGTAGGATCGAGCCCTTGCGTTGCTTTTCCCCTCGGTCCTCTCTTCCCCGCTGCCATAAACGCTAGCAATGGCCTTACGTCCTGTCCTCGTCCGGACTGTGAGACCCCTTCTCCGCCGCGCCATCTGCCACACACGCACGCCCTCCCGCCGACTATGCTCGGCACCGCGCATGCTCGAGCTAGCGCCTGGGTCTGACATCTACGTCATCACTGGCAGCATCGCTTTGTGCATTCAGGAGCCTCAAAGTCCTTGAAGAAACCGACGATGATAGGAGTGAGGAGCTCCGTATAGAGCCCGTAATTCTCCTGAGTGAACTTCTGCCGAGCCAGGAGGGCGGCTCCCTTGACAAACTTCTCTAGGCTCTCGTCACTGTCGGTGTCGTACTCTATGGGGCGATGGGATCCATCGGACTCGACACGAAGCAAATAAATCTCATCAGCCTTGTAGGCGTCAATGGAGACATATTTGGCGGACCGGCGTGAATGAACTCCATGGAATCCGGTATGACGTCACGAAAGCCGAAAGCGGCCTTGCGGAACTTGTTAAAGTTGACAGGTGGAAGCTCAGCTCGGACGAGGATGTTCTACTCTTTGTGGTCAGCAATGAACTTCTTTTACACGTCGCCAGAATTGATATCAGAGAAAAGGAGGACGGTAGCGCGCTCGAAGAACTGGATCATCGATTCTTTATAGCGGCCGCCGTTGTAGTAAACGACCTCCTTGCCATCGACTAGGAGCTTGAATGTTCGGAAGCCGTCGGTGTTGTACTTCTCGGCGAGCTCCTCCTTGTTGGGCGTCGAAGTCGGCGAGGACGGTCTAGCTCTTGAGCTCAGTGGCGGTTTTCTTGACTTCCTCGGTCATGGACTGGCAATGGCCAAACCAGGGGGCGAAAAAGTTAACGAAGAAGAGCTTCTCCTTGGCGACGACTTCGTCGAGGTTCTTGCTGGTGAGCGTGACGACATCCGACTCGTCGGCGGCGGCGAGAGAGGCGACGAAAGAAACGGCCAACTGGGGAAGAATGTTTCGAGGGCTAGTTTGGTGATCAGTTGATCTCCGAAGTGACTTCTATACTGGGTACGAATTTCTCATTCCCTTCTTCCAAAAACCTTTCCCCGTATATTCGTTTATTTTTTGAGCGCGTGCGGTGCTGTGTAATGAGCAAACTCACAGCCACACACAGCACTACATGCATCAATATCTGGTAAATACCCGCAGGGTGTTCAACATTCTCCAAATAAGTCTAGTGCTTCCCTAGTAAGGCACTGGACAACATCGGGGATCTTACCGGTCGTGTTCAACTCTGGAAAGTAAACAAGAACTGCTGCGGACGGTATATCACTCTGTGATTGATCGTTTCATGGGGGCGTAATTGCCAGTGTAGCACAAGCTCTCTCCTCTCTGTCCCTGTACAAGTTCGAACCACCGAACAGTCAAAATAACGTTGACACTATTTGCATTCTCAACATGTTCAACTCTTCCCGACCAGAATGGCGTCACTTCGGTCACGTTTGAACCGCAGTTTACAGTTACCATGCTCATATGTGCACGTGTCCTCCAGAGCCAATTCGCTTTCCGAATCATCATGCAAAACCTCAAGGTCGCGGCAATCATCGCAAAAAGAAGCAAATTGCCGGAATTCCCACTCTGGCAGGGCAAACTCTTTGCTTTCCATTGCGGCTATTTCGGAAAGAAGTGATAATACATTTTCTCTACATCCAATTCTGTTCTATGTCACATTTACGCGCTTGCGGTACGCGCTGATGTCTGTAGCATAAACACCCCCAGACGACTGGAAGTGTATGCGCAGTTCCACCTGTAGACCCCGGATCGGAGAAGGGGTGAAGCGGGCCAACCAGCTACGGAACCGGGCTCGGGCCTGGGTAGCGGTGGTAGAGCGGGAGCGAGCAGGAACGCGCGCACGCACGAGCGGATCGACGCCTCGACGCCCCGGAGCAGCACTGGGCGACGTACCAGTGCTGACGGGCGGAGGCGGTTCCGTGCTCGCTCGCGTGCTGCGCGTCCACTCCGGCTCGGCTCCGACTAAACGAGCGCGAAGAGCGAAGGCGACGTTTAGAATAAGCTGGGTGGACTGACCTTGGCGGTTCGTCGTCGACAAGCCCGTGCTTGTCCCCCCCCGTCCGCCGTCGGTCCGCTCCATATTTAATATACAAAACAATCTATCATAACACTACAGTACCGAGGTACTGTAGTGGGCTACTGTAGTGCAGGTCGGCCTGCACTGTAGTACTGTCAGCTATGTCGAGGCTGACAGTACACGTATTACCCGTGGTGCGTGCGCGCTTCGTTCGCGCGTGGTACACGTGTGCACGTGTGCTGTGGGCACACGTGGACACGCTCGGTGGTACTGTAGAGCGTCGGGCTCTACAGTAACTAAATCAATCGTGATCTAATCTAAAGTGAGTCCCCCAGGGGGGGTTATGCTACACGGCCCCTCCCACAAGTGTGAACGTCCGCGTTCACATGTGCTTGTAGGGCGACTCGTCCTTCATTTGATCTGAACCCCTTCCTGGTATTCTCATCTCCTCTGCTCCAGTCGTCGCGGGTCCCGTTTCCGGTAGCACGCCGCCGTGTGCGCTCTCGCGTCCCGTCCGCTTCTCCGTTGGTCACGCCGCTCACTCCGTCCGCATATCGGTGCGACGCCCTCTTTTTCTCCTTTTCTGTACTCAGGGCGCCGCGCTCCCGCTGTCCTGACCCTATTCGCCGGAGGCCTCGTTGTCGGGGTAATAATGACGTCGCCCTCCGAGGGTCGGTTCGTCGCGTCCGTCGCTACTCCGTCAAGCTCTGTAACCCCATGCCCCTCACAGCCGGGTCTTTCGTTTCAATCTCTCGGAGGCGCCACTCCCCTCGAGCCGTGGATGGCGGCGGTCGCGGCCCCGGAGGGGCACGCTCCGGGTCGTCCCGTGGCAGTTGTGCGCCCTTGGGTTACTGTACAGCCATTTCAGCGAGCTCGTGTCTCTCGGGAGTCAACGTCCTCTGTCGAGCTGGTTCCCTCGTCGACGGCCCCCCGCCTGTCCGTCGAGGCGGGCCCCGTCGGGGCCCCTACGGCAGCGCTTCCCGGGGCGACGGGTTCGCACGGGGGATCGGGCAACGGCCCTCGCGTTAGCGAACATCCTGAGACGCCTCAGTATGTGTCGGGTCAAGGCACCGAAATGGTCAAGGCTCCATCCGAGTGGGTCGGCGCGGCGCTCGATCGTTCCGCCCCGTTGCCCCTAGACCGTCTAAGGTTCGCGTGGTGCCGCTATGCCCGTTCCGGGATTACTGTCGGGGAGCTGCTCGCGCGGGAACAACTTCGTCCCGATTTGCTTCGCGTCCGGAAGCTGTACGAAGCCGGACGCGTGGAGGAGTCCTCGCTCGTCCTGGAGCGCCTCCTGGCCGAAGGTGGCGGTGCGGCGTATCAGATCCCTTCTGCCATCCCCTGCGATCGCACGTTCGCGTACAGTCTCGGTGAGGTGGAATACGTGGATCGCATGGCCACATATCTCTTCCACCGCGAGGGGACGGCCCCTCGAGAATTCGTCTTGTCCAACGTGGGGGGTCTGTACGTGAGACCCCGTCCTTTCGCCTATTCGAAGGCGCGCGTCGCTCTACAGAAGTCAGCGTGCTCGCTGATGAGGCTATACGGCGTTGCCATTGCTCCTCACGATTGGTCGGCGTACCACCATTCTGAGGAGGAGGACGGGCGTGTTTTCCGCCACGCTTCCTTCGAAGGAGGCCTGTCCCCTCGCGACTTCCCCCGGCTCCCTGCAGTGATACGGGAGACCCTCCCTTCGTTGGGAGTACATCCGTTGCTCCCGTATGCGCTCAAGCACTTCGGTGTGGCGTGCTCAAATTCTCAACATCCGGCTTATGCAGACTTAATGCACAACGTAGAGAGGGAATGGGCCTGGGCCCTCGGCAACGCTTTCATGAACGAGGTATCTATTCACGGACGCGTGTTCGTCCATCCCCTCGAGGTGCTGGCTTACTTGGGGAGGGTTTCGTGGGACCTCCCCGAAGTCCCCATACATCCGCTCGAGCGGAGCACTCAGCATGTGCCGTGGTCGTATTCGTTCGCCCTCGGGCTCATGCAACGGGCTGGCGAGGTGAGCGAAATCCAGCATCGGCGCTGCACCGATTTCACTACCGGCGAGCGATCCTCCTTCCTCATATATGACCATCGCGCCGACGCCTTCGTGGCACGCCAAGTGGCGCCGGCGCCCTCGTCAGGGCACGTCAGGAGCGGAGGCGGAGTCGGCTCCGCTTCGCGTGAGGCTCGGAAGAAACGGTACCGCGATTTGGACAGTGAGCCCGCTCCCTACACGTCCGCTCGTGCTGACTCGCTGTTCGAAACTCGTCTCGCCGAGAGCGACTTCGGTCCGGTGGCGAGTCCTCCCGTTCCCCATGTTCCACCTCTCAATGCGGTGCCGCTGCGTGAGGCGCCACCGGTGGTGTCCGTACGCCACGCGACGTTGGGGCGAGAGGACGTCAAGGCCGTCCCGTCGTTAGCCCATGCCTTGGGTCGCGCTGCCGACCGCTCTTAGCAGGTGGGCAGCCTCCTCGGCACACTCGCGAGCTGGTACTTGGCGCGAAGCGACGAAGCACGTCGCCTCGAGGCGGGTCGTGCGTCGTCCGTGTCCGAGTTGCGCCATGTACGCAACGAGTTAGCGGCGTTAAGCGAGTCCTCTGATCGACAAGCGAGCGCATTGGAGCGGACGACCGCCGAACGTGACCGGTACCGCCGCGAACGGGATGACCTCCGACGCCTTCGCGTGGCGTCTTCGTCCGCGCCACGCCCGATCATGCGGGATCCTTACGAGCAGTCGGGGTACGAGGCCGCCGCGGTGGGCAACGTCCTGGCTCCTCAGAGCCGTGTGCATCACTGGACTTGCCATAGTGAGGTGGCGTTGCCACCACTTGCGGAGCACGCGGCAGAGCCGCCTCGTCACCCCAGTTACTCTCCCCCTAGCCTTTACGGGTCAGGGGACGCGTCGCCGGCCGACCGTATCAACCACTGAACGGGTCGTCCCGTTATACTCGCCGGGGGTATGTTCTTCCTCCCCCTCTTTTCTCTGCGTAAAATCAATCCCGTCTCTTGTGTGCACACGATGTCCGTCGGACCTACGAAGGGGCCCTCGCCGTGACCCGTGCGTGCACGGTGTGACTTCTTCGCCTCACCGCGTCATACTTCCTTTAGGGAGCGCGCCAGCGAGCTCGCCTACGAGGGCCATATTGGTCAGCGCACCCCTTGGTCGCGGGTCCCGCGGGGAGGCCAGTTGGTGAGGCAATTCGAATTGTCTGCACGGGGAGGAAGGGGTAGGCCCGAGCGCTTCTCCTTGTCGACTTTGTCCCTTCCCACGCGAACTTTTCTACCCCCACGAGGACTTGTGTCAGTGGGGGCGGAAGCCGGCTGTCGCACGTCATCTTCGTCTCCGTACCGGCCTTGCCGTACTCGTCTCTTCGTAAATCGCTGTTCTCCTTCTTCTTCGTCCGTCGCTGTCGTGGCGATCCTCTTTTTGACGTTTATCTCCTCTACTTTGGTCCCTCGCCCGCATCGGTCGGGTCGTTCCGCTCGTGTGGTGTTCTTCGTTCTCCCTGGCAGTCTGTCCTGCCAGCTTGTCGACATGGTACTTGGTCCCCTCTCCCTGTTGCGCCCCTCGTAGTCTCCTCTGCGCAACGTTGCGCTTCGCGCCGTGTACTCCTCTGCCCCTGCCTTCGGCTATGAGCGGGTCGGGGCAAGAGAGGTTGGTGGACGTTCCGAGTCGTCCGCCTGGGACCGGAGAGGACGTCGTCGCCTCTCTCCTGTCATCGGAGCCCGGGTCCACGTGCGGTTTCGTGGGTCCCCATGGGCGGGCCGTCCGGCAAGCTTCTTGGTGTGATTCGTACGTTGGGAACGCGCTTCTCCCGACCTCCCATGTCCGCTATCCAGCGCAGCGTCGCGCTCCGTATTGTACTCTCCCCCGCTCCGCTTTCGGGCGAGCGAGCGGGGGTGAGGGGCAGATCGTTGGCATGTCGGGGAAATGGGAGGAATCGTCTCCTTCCTCTTCGCCAGGGCGGCGGGTCAGCGTGGTCGTGCCGTTGGCCTTGGTGCCTGCTCCGCGTTCGGGACGGCCCGTGCCCCGCTTGGACGTCTGTTGGTTTGACAATTATGGAGGGGGCGGAACCGGACCGCGCCCCTCCATAATTGGGCTCCGGTAGCGTGTACCGATCGGTTGGTACACACTGTACTCTTCTCACGCGTCGCTGTCCGGACGTCTCTTGCGCGTTGTTGCGTACAGCACGTGTCTGGGCGTCCTGCCCGTGCAACCGCCCGTCAGTGTAATTTCCCATTTCACTGATATTTTCTCCCTTATTTAGGGTATGGCGGTGGCTGTTTGTTGGAGCTCTGATCTCGAGTGTATCAGCCGGCGGCGGCCCGTACTGTCTCTTTCTCTCCTCTTGTTCGGACTGGGGCGTACTTGCGTGAACCGCTTAGCCAACGAAACAACGCTGGTCGAGGAGACGGCATGTAGATCGACAAAGTTTCGACATCGCATTTCCTTCATCGATAGCGAAGGAATGGAAATCAATACCATCGTCGGCGGAATTTGTGGCGACCGCGGGGCGACTATTTCGCTCTGGGAGATCGTCTCCCTGCTGGAGGGCTCTTTGCCCACAGTCCGTGACGAGGTGCCA